ATCACCTTACAAATGTGTCATATAAAATTACAGTCAATCGCAAAGAGTCTTCTCGTGTTCCATCATCTCTCATCTGCCATTCCCCCGCCCCCTCCTTCCTCTTTTATTTATTTCAAACTTTTGCAACACTTTACAGGCTCGCATTATATCGAATCGAGATACGGTATTATTCCCAGAGTTTTCACCCCACTCGAACAAAATGGAGAAAGAAAGGAACAAAAAAATTGGAGGAGGAGGTGCGAGGGAATTTTTCCCTCATCCGCAGACACACACACACACACACACACAATATATATATTTTTTCATCCCCTCTTGCCCCGACGCACATCGCTCTTCGCAACCGTGTGAAATCTTGGAAGACAGATCGGGTAATATCTACTGCAAATAAGTGGAAGAGGTCGGGTATAGTCAGACAGAGGAAAAATTTTATGAAACGTCGGGTTTTCTCTTTGCTGTGAGGAATAAAAATCGAAGGGTTGGAAACTGAGGGCTCGAGACAGTTTTATGCATCGAGTCCTCAAGTTGAATATGTGGGGATGTGATAGAATAGAGGAAGAGTGGGCGGTGGAGTTCGAAGATTTTACACAAGTGCATGAAAATTGAATTGAAATACGTTTTTGCGTAGGCAACGGATGAAATACTATTTGAAATTGTTATTTCGAGTCGGTTATTTTTGCTGACTTGATAGAATTTATTCATTTGCTTTTTTAAAACTTAAATTAAATGGTATTTTTAGTGTAGCAGTTCATTTCATTGTTGATAAATTAGGAATGAATAAAGAAAATCAAAAGGTCTTCCCCACTCGACATATTCCTCTCAACCCTCGTCAGCAAGATCATTCGAAAGATAGTATGGATTTTTTTCTTTACGCATTATATTTATACGCTTCACATGCACTCACCTTCTCGAAGAAAAATAATAATTTTTTTATACAGTTATTAGTGTTATCTTATGACTATCGTGCTTACAATTAGTTCAACGCCGATACACAAACGGAAAGAGCATTAATTATCATTTGCATTTGAATTCTTGTCACATCCATCCGTGATTTGATTAACGAGAAGGCGTATCTCCGACATACTCCGCAATTTTCAGTTTAAGGTGTCTATAGATTCAACCATTTTCAATCATCGAATAATTGAAATTGTTTAAACTCTCGGAAACCTTATTTTTTTAGAAATGAAATCAATTTCTAGTTAAATTTTGAATATTAATAGATTTGTTACGATTCCAAACAAAAGATTTTTATGGTGGAAAATAGATTGTTTATAAATTATTTACCGAAAACGCTCGTAATTTGCAAAAATTGCAATTTTCAATTATTTTATCAATCTTCCTCCAAAAGTAAACTTTCTAATTTTTTTAAAGATTTTTAAATGTTTTCTAACGACTAAATATCGAGATTCAAATTCAGACCTGCAAAGCTTAAATAATAAAATCATTGTAAGATGTCCGGAAACTTAGGGTCAAATGGGGCTCAAATGGAAGCTCTGATGGTCGACTACAAAAGTAGAAAATTATTTTTTTAGGAATGAAATTAATTT